ATCCTTGGATTACCGAAGGCCTCTGAACAGATTAATAAGATTAAGGGGCTAGCAGAAGCAATTATATATATATAGTTGTCCAATGAGCTATGCTGACTTATATGAAACAGAATATTTAAAAACTTTTTATACAATAACCAAAAGTCAACCATGCATTATACCCACACACATTATAGTATTTTAAGTACAGCCAGCAGAATTAAATCAAGTCATACATATACATAAAACCAACAGAACTTGAACACAGGATACTTCGGGAACCTCCACGTAAGGCACAACAGTTGGCTGACAACGGATCACAGATCCAGACAAAAGCCTTCGGGCTTGAACTCCAGAATGCTCACCTATACATATATATATATATAAACAATGAGCTAAAGCCTAGTGAATAACATTAAGGTAAAGAGGTTTGTGAACGAAATCCGAACATATCATAAGCGGAAAACAAATCATAGCATAATCATCCTCATATCAGAACATAATAATGGTACATCCCATAGAACACATCACAGAACGTCTTCTGACTAGAGTAATCGGTTCCGGATACCGATTAAACACATATCACCACAATGAAGTGGCTAACAAGATCTCGTAATTACTTGTATGTCATGGACCCGCATTTTCATGTCGTCCCCCATGACTTGGGACTATCTAAGGATGCCATAATAGATTTCAAACTTGGAATGTTCGTTTACGTAAACAGATAACATTTCAGAAATCATAACTTATCATATTTCATTTGGAACATAATTCATATAAACGTATCTTTATGATAACGTTACTCACAGTGGTTCTACGGTTAATCAATCTTCAGACGTTGACCTACAATCACAAAAGTACATAACACAACATATCTCATTAATACACGTTCACATGGCCAACACAGCTTAACTTTCATTACGTTAGTTCTTGTTCATACTTAGCACATTGATTGAAACACACACACACTTGCAGTCTCGGAACCTGGTACATTCTTTTCTTAGTGTGTTTCTAATCCATAACCTCATTATCAAAGCTTAATTAAGGCTTAGGAATGCCTAAGATGTAATGAGGATGCCAAACACATGAGTTGGAACACTTAGGCAAAATTTCTGAAAATAAGGTCCTCGCTCGAACGTAGCTTTCCTCGCTCGAGCGTGACTTCCTTCGCTCGAGCGACCTGCAAATTTGGAAAAAAGTACTGGTTGGTCGTAATCCACGCTCGAGCTACAAATCCCACGCTCGAGCGGATCGTCAACATGCAAAGGGTTCGCTCGAGCGTCCAAGTGGTCGCTCGAGCGGAGAGCTCATGTCTGAAAAAAAGTACTGAGAGCTCGCATTCTCCACTCGAGCGCAGGTTTCCTCGCTTGAGCGGACTGTAAAAATCTGGGTTTCCAAAAACAGTGTTTGAGCTTCGAATGCTATTTTAATGGCTATGTTCATGCAAAGCTTGATCAAAATACTTGGAAAACTTTACTAAAACACAGATACATAGCCCTTTTCAAACCTTTAGCTCAAAACTCATGGATTTAGCAAATTTGAACTTGTAAGCTCATGCATGAAAGATTTTCAAATCATTTTCTTGCTTTCTTCAAAACACGCAAATGGTGATCTACACACTCATGAGTTCTGAAGCTATAAACATGACTAAAACTTACATGCATGCAAGGACTCTAAGAGCAAATCCCAAGACACGAATGAACAAGGTATAATCCTCCATAACATGCACACAAGCCATTTTCTTGCTCAAAGACCCAACTTCATTTCAATTTCATGAGAATGGTTCAAAGATGAGTTGAAATCAAGATGCACAGAAGCTAGCTGCAGAAGATATACTAAGGACTCTCTTACCTAGAGCTTGATTTCAGAAATGTGGGAGTAAATCCTCTAAGTTTCCTTCTTCTTCTTCAACCTCTTGAGCTCACTCTCTCACTCTTTTAGCTAAACTCTCTCTCTCTTTTAGCTAAACTCTCTCTCTCTCTCTCTCTCTCTCTCTCTCTCAGGCTAACTCTCTCAACCCAGAGGACTAGAGGAGCAAGAGAATGGCACAAAGACTCTCTCACTCGGCTGAAGTACACAACACCCACCTCACTTCTTGAGCACACTACACATGCACACACACATGCAAGCTTCTAACTCACACACAAGAATTTATCCCCTACACCCAACACTATAAAAAAAAATGCCTCAACACATTGCACACTAAATCACATCTTGGATCATTAATAGGATTAGGTTAGGCATCACTTGTGCATTATTTAAATCAGATATAAATAACCTTAATTTATTCAGGCTGGCACGAAATTCAATTAATCCAAAATAGTTCCCATCAATGTTCCATTTACTCACATGCGACTTTTATCAAATCGAATCCATTTTTAATAAAATTTGCCATGGTGTTCTAAAAATTCCAAATAACACATTAATGTAACTAATTCCAATTTCAGATGCCGATAAGGCTTTCAATCTTTATATTAAAGCAGATTTCTAGACAGATATTTCCACCAGTAACAGATAGGAAGCCAAAGATCATACAAATTACATAACAAACCCATAATTTATTTAATTCTTTTAATTAACATCCTTAATTACTAATTAGTAGCTAACTACGGGTCAGGGTTATTACAATAATAATAAAGAATTTTGGAGAAGAAAAGAAGAAGAAGAAAATTATGGAGCTATTCAATTTCAACAGGTTTGTATGGAGATAGATTATTGATATGTATGTTTATATATAGAAAGATGATATATATCTCTTCATCAATTTCATCACCTCCATCAACTTTACCAACATCGTCACCCGAACTACCAACTTCACCGCCACTGAACTCCATTATCACCACCATGAACATCACCACCACCTCTACCACCACTATCACCTTACAACACCAAACCCACATTTTTCACAACCAAGTTCCATTACCGCCACCGTGAATATTACCATCACCATGAATATTACCATCACCACCACCTTATAACACCAAACCCACCGCCATCACCGGACCGCCGCCACTACCACCATTACCAGTTATGTTACCACCTATAACCATGTTCCACATCATGTTATAAGTGAAAAAGAAGAAAAATAATGAAGAAGATAGAGAAGAAGAAGAATGAGGAAGATGGAGAAGAAAGAAACAAAAGATTAATGTTTTGAAATTTTCAAAATTAGTTTTCAGACAACTTTCGGCATACCAAAATCGCCCATTACATGAAAAAGTGAAAAAGCGAGGTAATGTAGGGCAAAGTAGAAAGTGAGGTGACGAGAATGGTGAAAGAATGAGGTAGAACCAAGAATCGAGAAAGATATGAAGTCTAAAAGATGGCTCGAAGAAAAGTAAAAAAGGGAAGAAAAGTCTTTTTTTTTTTTTTATCAACTTTCGGAGTTTTGATAGCATGCAAAAAGAGGAAGAACGAGACGTGTGAGATGTGATACGAAAACTAGATCGTGAGTTGAATCCAACGACATAAATATGAGGTGAAATGGAGTTATGACGAACGAGATAGGAGGGCTTAAAGTGGTGGTTTGTGGTGGTATGCTAGTAGGAAATGGTGGGTCTACATCTTTCTTTTGAAATTTGGGGCAAAAATGTAATTCTTTTAACCTTTTCCATTTCAAATGTGACAGCAAGGGCAAAATTGATAGTAACTTAAATAGTATGGGAGTACGCATGAAAATAAGAATAATCTGTGAGGATCATTAAAAATTGTATAGATGTATAGGAGTAAAAATATAATAATCTCAAAGCCGAAGGTCCGAGAACAATGGCATTGTTACTGATGTGGTGAGAAATTGAGAAACAGAACTGATTGAGACTACTAAAAAACACACCACTAACAGTTCTAATGAGTTGAAAAATGTAAAAAAAAAAAAATAACAATAATAATATAAAAAAAAAACAACCATCACATTAAGGGAGAGCTAACTCATTAGCGCCCCTCTAATACTTCCGTTTTTAGCTAATCATTGAGAAATTGAGAACAATCACTACGCTTGGTTGTGTTTTTTCAAATCACTTTTCAGAAAATTCTACTTTCTTGTTTTTCGTATTTTTTTGTTTTTACTGAATTTTTTTAATATTTTAAGCAATTTTTTTACTTTTTAGACACACCTAACATAAATATACCTAAAAAGTAAAAAATTTGTGAAAAAATCTTTTAAAAATTCACTAAGGCCTCGTTTGGAAACAGGCTATTTTAGTAACTTTTTGACTTTTTTGCTAAAATATGAAGTAAAAAAAACTAGTATGTTTGGGATAACTTTTTGACTTTTTACGAAAAGATGTGCAAAAAGTATAGAGAAAAGAAAATCTTTGACTTTTTGGTATAAGTTGTTGGCTTTTTGATTTTTTTAGTAACCTTTTGGCTTTTAGGCTAAAACAGCCACTTGCCAAACGAGGCCTAAATACCAAAAATACAAAAAAAAAAAAGAAAATTCAGTACATTTTTTGTATTTTTATGTATTTATTAAAATTTTAAAATATTTTTTCACAAATGTTTTACTTTTTAGATACATCTAAGTAAGGTGCATCTAAAAAAGTAAAAAAAATATTTAAAATTTTAAAAATATTCACTAAAAACAAAAAAATATAAAAACCAAAAAATTGAATTTTTAAAAAACTTAATTCAAAAAACTCAAAGCAAACACACTGGGCTCTAGTACAAACAAAAAAGAAGTGGACATATGAGCGGCCATGTCAACAATGATGGCGGCTGGCGTTCACATTACATGAAGAATTGGCCACCAAATTACATGAATATAATGGCCTTTTGAAAATGTCACCATTTTAATAAATTATTTTTAATCTAATTAAAATAATTATATTCGTAAAAAGAGATGAATTTTTTTTATAATTAAATATGATATTTGTAGTAAAAAAATAAATAAATAATTATAAATTTAATGTGATATTTTATTTTATTATATATTTTAATTTATTTTATCTTTTATACTATTTTAGTTCAAAAAAAACCAAATAAAACCCATAGGCCACTATATATAGTGCATCACACTGCAGCCATCGACCCACATAGCAACTAGCAAATATAGCAAGATGAGAGTGGTAGCGGCAATATTATGCATTGTTGTTCTCGCAATTTGCAGCCTTGGAATCCAAGGTGACATCCAGGCCTATCCCTCCGTCTCCTTCAATGTGGCGGATATCACCGTGGCCACATACAGAGAATTCATAGGGGCACTGCGCAAATTACGTATTTGTTCTCTTCTGTTGCATCAAATATGCGTTTTCACATAAACTTGTGTTGCACGCATGTCCTGCATCGTTCATGATTCATGCATTGAGTATCCTTGTATAGAATATGCTTTCAGTTAACATCGTACATCGGTTGTCTGTCTTGCATGGAACATGCATTATCATTATGTTGAGTTATCATCTTGTTCACTTTGTGCATTTGTCGCACTTGTTCGCTTCATACCATGTTTTATTATCTCTGTGGGTTTCGTTTTCCGAGGCCGAGGCCTTCCTGGGGGAGAGATAATCTTGCTTAAGTTTTGACTATTTAATTATTCCTTTGTTGACTTGCTAAATTGGTTAAAAATAGTAGGTGCGCCAGTTTGTTCACACTACCCCTCTTTCTCTAGCGTGCAACACATTAGGATTGTTTAAATCGATTAAAAATAGTAGGTGCGTCTGTTTGTTCACACCACCGCTCCTCCTCTTGCTTGCAACGCGTTAGGATTGTTTAAATCGGTTAAAAACAGCAGGTGCATCTGTTAATTCACTCCACCCCTCCTCCTCTCATGTGCGACGCATTAGGATTGCTTAAATTGGTTAAAAATAGCATGTTGTAGACCGCCTGGAGAACTCCCACTCCACGCGCGAGGGCACGAATCATTTGTTCTTAGCTACTACAGTTCGGACTCGTGTCACGGTTCTGAATCTAATCTCACAAAGTGTAATGTGAGACCGATAAATCACCAAAGAGTCCAAACCCGGCAAATCATTTTGAAAAATTGATTTTAATAAAGAAGTGCCAAACATGGACTGCTTTGCCAGATACAGAGTCGCCACCTAAATATTTTATTTTGGAGAAATTTAGGAAACCCTGACTCGTGCCTAAGGCCACGTGTCTGTCATCACCAAAGTTGCCTCCGCTTAGGAACTTGGGTACAAGAGGAGAAGGTCATGCAATGAGCACCCCTGCTCGCCCGATCAAAGATCGGCCTTTACTAACATGATATTTTGTTTTTGAAAACACATGCGTTCTTATTCCAGTTATTATCCTAAAATTACTATGCGATGCGCACAGCATACAAGTATAGACTAGATCGCCTAACTTGGAACAAAACATTTCATGTTCGTTTGTTTGAAAACGGTTTAGAGGTGCTACTCGCAAGTAAGCTAAGTCGTGGATTTTGCCACCCTCAAGTGACATTTTGATGAATTGTTCCAATTCAAGCAATCCAACCTTCACTCACAGGCATTCAACCCCGAAAGTAAAGTGCCGGTTGGGAACCGGTTCGTTATGGTCGGTCTCATCAATGGCGACACAGTCACGTTGGCAATAGATGTGGTGAACCTTTATGTGGTGGCTTTTAGTGGTGCAAATAACAAATCCTTCTTTTTCAAAGACGCTACGGCACTTCAATACAACAATTTATTCGTCAGCACCAATCAAATCAACTTAGGCTTCAACGGCACCTATCCCAGCCTCGAGAAGCAGCGAGGAGTTAGGGAGAGGGACCAACTCCCTCTAGGACCAACTCCCTTAGCTGACGCCATCACAAGGTTGTGGTACGGTGGGAGTGTCGCCGAACCGCTCCTTGTGGTCATTCAGATGGTTTCGGAAGCGGCAAGGTTCAAATACATTGAGGAACAAGTCCGCAAAAGCATAACCGATCGAAACACTTTTACACCAAAAGGTTTGATTAAGAGCATGGAGAACAAATGGTCGGCTATGTCCAAGCAGGTTCTGCTTTCGAAAGATCGAGAAACCTTCATTAACAGCGTTCAACTCCAAGATGACAATTACAAGCCCCTCATAGTAAACAACTTTTCTACACTCAGTCACTATACCATGGTCGCGATTCTTCTCGACAAAAGCGTCACGACTACTAGTAGTCGTAATAGCAATATTGCTCTAGCCGAGGACTACCACAACAATGAATTGAGAAAACTCTAAAATTGCTGTAACTGCCTAACCCCCACATCTCACCCTTAAATTATTCTGTGTAACCTCATTTCTTCCCAAACTGGTTTCAAGGCATAAAATAAATAGTTACCCTTCATCTTTCTCCACAGATAAGTCTGCTTTGCATTTTCGTTTTGGACTCTTTTTGGTATTTCTTCTTCTTCTTTTTTCTTTTTTCTTATTATGTTGCATGTATTTTAGCACGTACTAAAGGATGGGCACGCGAAAAAAAGTTATCAAAATAATATTGTGAGAAAAGCTATATGAAAAAAATTAAGAATTAAAGAGTATGATTAACAATTTGATGACCTATGAAGTATATTTTTTTGACAAGCAGTGATTCAAGTATATATTTTCGACACGCAAGCGATAGGAGGAAAAAAAATATATAGTCGCATGATGAATAATCCTTTCATTAGTTCATCAATATTAAGTCAATTAATAATATATTTCAATTAACATTTCTGATAATTTTATTATTGAATAGAAGGACAGTTAAAAAAACTATTTTTTCGATCAACTCTATTGAATGACAAATTATGATAAGATAGTATTTATAATTTTTAAAAATACAAAGACCAATCTATATATTTTAAGTAAACTTAATAAAGTATATTCATAATTGAGTAATGGTTAAAGACTCAAAAAATATTTTATCAAATATTCACATGAGTCACATGGGTCTAATCCCACACCCATATAGGTATTTGGTGAAATATATAATAATTTATTTAGAATTTCTAATATTTTTATAATAATTTATTTAGAATCTCTAATATTTTTATTCGCAACTGTGGTTAATAAAATATCACACAAAGACTTTAAGTGGACACTTGTAAGACCCACACAAAAAATATAAATGTTTTAATCTATTTGAAATTTCCAACATTTTTATTTATAATTTACTCAAAAAAATATTAATTAGTGATGACAATGATGATATCACTTGTCAATAAAAAAAAAAAAAAAAAAAAAAATAAAAAAAAAATCTTAAAAGATTAAATGGATAAGTGTTATCTCCTACTAACTTAACATTTGATAATAACCATCATATATAAAATTTTTGGAAAAATTATAATTCTTTTTAAAAAAATTTAGCCTTATAACAAAATAAATTTTAATTTTTAGTTTTATCAATGGAGTTTAATTACAAAGAACGAGAATGCGAATAGCAATCCCAATATAATGGGCTGAAGGAGAAACTATTTTCGTCACTGTTGCTATTACTTTAGTAGCAAAGTGGACATTTTATCATAATTTTATTATTTTGCATGATTGTAGGGACATAACTTTCGACATATCCATGTGCCTAGGCTTAGGGTCGAGGTGCCATTTATCAACCTGAGATGGCTCGAGATATGGAAACGATTCATATTCGGGCTGGCATATGAGATGAAGAACGAAAGTTCTTAATAAAAAAAATGACTAATAGGTTAGGTTAATCTTAATTCAATTAGGAGAGATGAATCTTAGGTGATTTGTTATTCCTAAAGGAAGTTAAGAGTTCTATTGAAGTATGATTACTGGGAGGAGGAAGAGGGCACTGGTATTCTATAAAAGGCATGCACCCCCATGGATGGAAGGTATGTGATTTTGTATATGTTAACTTGTGTGAGTTGTTGTTGCTCTATTTGATTATCTTGTGAGATAAATGTCTTTTCGGTTGACGAGCAACTACGATAGTTTTTTTTTTTTGATCAGCAAAGAAATCTTTATTGATGGCAACATACAAAGTATGGAAAAGAACATCAATAAAGAGGAGCTTGGAGCTAAAATGAAGCTCCAAGCGCCAGTTGGTGAGAAACCAACCAAAAGAAAAAGAGAAGAAAGGAGAAGAAACACAGCATTAGAACAACAGAACAAAAACTATCATCAACACCTCATCTCCTTGTTCTGAATCTACACTCCTCTGCACAAGCCAGCCCACCTGAATGCATACCAAACGCCAGTTGACGAGCAACTAGGATAGTTATTCTACTCATCTCTTCAGGTTGGTTTGTACTATTCGGCTTGGTTCCAGAAATCTTAGGAAGAAGATTCAATTTGGTTTGTACTATTTTTTCAGTTAATTTTAAGTCAAAGCTCAAGTTAAGAAGTTACTGACATTGGAATTACATGTGTAACAATCCACATTTTATGTCCTAGTCATGTTTGCATGCATTTGTATGTTTTGCCATGTTAAGATGCTGTAACAACCCATATTCATGTCATAAGTCATATTCATGTTCATTTACATAACCTTGTCTTGTTAAGTTTGCATTCTTGAATCTTGTCTCGTTTGTGTTTATGTGATTTATCTAAGTGTTGTGTGCCTGCTTTGATCCTCCCTGGGTGTCTCAAGCCTAAGTTATGTTAAGCCTAGGTCATGCCAAGCCTAGGTTATGTTACGCCTAGATCATTCCAAGCTGAGGTCATCTTCTGTCTAGAAGTATCTTGGAACCCCTTTGTTTGATCTCTACCTTCACCCTGACATATTGGCCGAGATGTCATTATCTAGGCCGAGGTGTTCATCACATATAGCGATCCCGGTTATCCCTTTACTGTTCTGTTGTATTCCGGACTCGGTTCCGTGAAGTTGGTAGTGGTATCTATCTTGTTGTGTCCTTTAATTCCACATGATTGAGTTTTACCCAATATAACATCGAAATGAGTTATGTTAAACGGCATCAAATCAACTAATAATTCAACATTTTCAATCACAACAACACATGCTTTATAAATGGATGCAACAGTCATAATTCTTCCAGATGGAGTAGACACAAATAGTAAATAACCAAGGGGTTCTAGTTCTCTATTTAACTTCTCGACAAATTTAGTAGATACGAATGAATGTATAGAACCCGAATCAATCAATATATATGCATCTTGAGCGCAAATAGGAAGTATACCTGACACTACTGTCTCGACGCTTTGGGTGTCTCCTGGCACTAATGCAAAGACTCTGCCTTGCCTCATCTGTCCTTTCCCAACATTACCCTTCTGTACGGGACCCGAGGTATTTTCATCTTTCTTACCTTCATCAGCCCTTGTCTTTGGACAGTCCCTCACAAATGACCTATTTCCCCACATTCGTAACAAGCTCCAGACGCCCGACGACAGACCCCGAAATGTGGCTTCCCACAGCTTGAACATCTCAGCTTAGTTCCACTTTCCTGCCTTGGGTTGCTTGAACTGCCGACGTTCGCTTTCTTCTTGGTACCAAATTGTGCTCGGCGATTGTCATAATTCTGCCTCTTCCTTTAGCTCTCTCCTGAACTCTGATATCTGTTCAAGTTAGCTTCGGCCAGAATGGCTTTGTCTAGTACTCCGGCGTAAGTCGGCATATTGAGCATATTAACTCGGTCTTGTATCGGTCCACAAAGCCCACTTTTGAATTTCCTAGCCTTCATATATTCATCATTGACCATGTGGGGTGCATATCTCGCCAACTCGGTAAAGGCACGGTCATATTCAGCTACTGTTCTATTGCCTTGTGTCAAAGTCTGGAATTCGGTAGCCTTGCGATTTCGAACACTTAGGGGAAAGTGCTTGGTGTAAAATAACTCCAAAAATCGGGTCCAGGTCAAGTCTGGATTGCCTTCCCGAACCATCATCCACCATCTGCGAGCGTCGTCATCTAGTGTAAAGGCGGCTAATGTCACCTTCTGGATGTCGGTGCTGGGAAAGATCTCAAACAGCTTTTCCATTTCCAAAACCCACGCTTCGGCCTTCATCGGCTCTATACCCCCTTGGAATCTCGGTGGCTTCATTTTCTTGAACTCTCTGATCAAAGCTATCGTGCCGTCCCCATATAAAGCTGGCTGTGGGAGCACTTGCGGTACTGGAGGAGGTAGAGGTGGAACTGCATTTCGACCGTTTGTCTGTTCGGCCTGAGTCGATGTAGCACTAGCGTACTGCTGTCTTGTCTGCCTTAACTCGCGGGCCAAACCTTCAACTTACCTTTCCAGTCTGTCTAATCTATCCTCGGACTGATCTTGGCCAACTGGAGGTCTACCTCTCTTCATGATGCTATGAGTATGCAAAATGTGACTTTAAAACAAAATGAACAAATAAACACGTAGACAAGAAACAATTAAGCATGCCGAGGCGATGCACACCTTGTTCACATAGCAAGCAATATGATGCAATCCTAACATCCTTCTAAGGGGAAATCCTATGCTCTTTAGGACTCAAAGTGTGTGAATAACGTATACTAAGGAACTTGTGCTCTGATACCATTCTGTCACGACCCCAAACCGCCCCTAGTAGGATGGTGCCATGATGGCCAATAATCCGAGATTACCGAAGGTCAAATTTTCAAAATCCACACACATCAGAGTATAAATATATGGGGCTCACAAGTACAGAAGCAAAATATACAAATCAGATTAGTCCATAAGAGCTGTGCGTAAGTCAAATGAAGTGACAAACATCTATACATGAATTACAACATAGTTACAAATGAAGCAAGGTACAAATTACATCTTGATCAAAAGGCTTATCAAGCCGACGTGTGCAAAATACAAGTATTACAAATCGAGAAGCATAATTTTCAAGACTGCCGACATAATTACAAGTCAAGCCGATATAACAAAAATCCAAAACAAGCTCGCGGATCACATCTAGGCGTCATCGCCTTCTTGCTCATCACCAACATATATATAGAGAGAGTGAGCTTGGATACTCAGTGAATGGCATAAATAATAAAGGATTTGCATGAATAATAGCCGAAGTCCTTTCAAAACAAATACATATCAAAACTCCATATAGCAAGGGATGGACCTCGTCCATCTAACAAATCTTCAAGCTTCAAGGGTTGCTTACTAGCATCAACATATTACAAATGCTAACATTCTGGACAAACAAACCCACGCAGTAAACCGTCAGTGGCAAAACAAAACAAAGCAAGGGAGATATCTCAACAAGGGTGCTACAAAAGTTTAGAGTCCTATAGCACAAAGGACCTATGTTACAAAGGCTCGTAGCCTCCTAACACGAGAGTACTGCGAAAGTATAGAGTCCTCCAGCACAAGGGACTTTCAAAACAAGATGTACTACGAAAGTTTAGAGTCCTCCAGCACAAGGGACTTTCGAAACAAGATGTGCTGCGAAAGTTTAGAGTCCTCCAGT